GCTACTCAGGAGGCTGAGGCAGGAGAATTGCCTGAACCCAGGAGGCGGAGGTTGCGGTGAGCCGAGATCGCGCCATTGCACTCCAGCCTGGGTAACATGAGTGAAACTCCGTCTCAAAAAAAAATAAAATAAAAAATAAAATAAAGTATTTGGAATTCACTGCTCTACGATAATACATGTGAAAGTATTTACTTTCTAACTTGCTACTATGTAATTTTGAAAACTGATTTCAGATTTTACCATTTTGAAAGAGAAGTTATTCTCTTAAATAGCCAAAGCATATTAAAGAACATCAATTAAAGAATTTTGCATATGGGAAGTATACCACTATCTTTAATTTACGATTGAGTTTGTTGCTGTAGATTTTTCTGATGCTCTTTCTACAACGTATGTTATGTCTTTAACTTCCAAACCTAACCATTTCCTTTGGTGATTTGGCAAACATGGAAGAAGTCGTCTTCTTAGGTTTATACCTTGTAATTATTGCTCATACAGCAGTATTATTACCTGAGGGTGGGGGGCCCAGGCAGAGATAGTGATGTGTGCCAAGGCAGAGTACTCTCCAGGAAGGCAGAAGACCTGGTCCTCATTTGATTGCCTCATCTGTGAAACAAGTAAGGTGGGAAGTTCCTCTGTATCAGCGGTTTCCCAAACCCGGGACATTGATTAGAATTGCCTGTAATGCATGTTTCAAAACAAACAAAAAATCCCCAAAACCCTAAAACACCCCCAAAAAAACAAACGCATGCCTCATCTTAGAGCTCAGTAGCTCCAACTGATGTTTCCTAGAGTATGGATCACAGGTGAGTTTTTCTTTTTAATTAAAAAAAAATTTTTTTTTTTTGAGACAGAGTCTTGCTGTGTTGCTCAGGCCTCAGTGCTATGGCACCACCTTGGTTCACTGCAACCTCTGCCTGCTGGGTTCCAGCGATTCTCCCACCTCAGCCTCCCAGGTAGCTGGGGTTACAGGCACATATCGCCACACCCTGCTAATTTTTGTGTTTTTAGTAGAGGTGGGCTTTCACCATGTTGGCCAGGCTGGTCTCGAACTCCTGACCTCAAGTGATCCTCCCACCTTGGCCTCCCAAAGTGCAGGGATTACAGGTGTGAGCCACCATGTCTGACCCAGATGAATTTTTTTTTTTTTTTGAGACAGTGTCTTGCTCTGTTGCCCAGGCTGGAGTGCAGTGGCCTGATCTTGGCTCACTGCAACCTCCACCTCTCTGATTCAAGCGATTCCCCTGCCTCAGTCTCCTGATTAGCTGGGACTACAGTCGCACACCACTGCACCCGGCTAATTTTTGTACTTTTTAGTGGAGACGGGGTTTCACCGTGTTGGCCAGGCTGGCCTTCAACTCTTGCATCACTCACCTCATGATGCACCCACCTCGGCCTCCCAAAGTTCTGGGACTACAGGCGTGAGCCACCGTGCCCAGCCCCCGGATGAATATTTTTACTGTGCACTCAATGTGATGCCAGGAGACCAGTGGTCTTGATGACCTCTGATTTTTCATCTCTGATAGAACACAAGAACAAACGATACTGAGCATTGAGATGTTAGATGTTGCCCTTTATACACATGTCTTTTAAATACATGTCAGGTTTTAAAAAACTTTTAAATACTACCTGGAAAAAAGTTCTAAAACTGAAAAAAATTCTTCATGTAAGAGAAAGTACGAATGGGAAAAATAGGTAATTGTTGAAGCTGGGAGTAGATATTCAGGGATTTATTATACCATTTTCTTTCTTTCTTTTTTTTTTTTTTGGCGGGGAGATGTAGTTTCGTTCTTGTTGCCCAGGCTAGAGTACAATGGCGTGACCTCAGCTCACTGCAACCTCTGCCTCCCACGTTCAAGTGATTCTCCTGCCTCAGCCTCCTGAGTAGCTGGTATTACAGGCATGTACCACCACTCCCGGTTAATTTAGTATTTTTAATAGAGGTAGAGTTTCTCCATGCTGGTGAGGCTAGTCTTGAACTCCCGACCTCAGGTGATCCACCTGCCTTGGCCTCCCCAAGTGTTGGGATTAGAAGCATGAGCCACTGTGCCCAGCTATTAGACCATTTTCTATACTTTTGACTGTGTTTGAAAATTTTCATAATAAAGATATATATAGCTTAGTGAAATTCATACTGTTTGTTATTAAAAAGGGCTTTTCATTTCTCCAATAAACATTTTAAACTGTGCAATCCATTTGATGGTATTTATTGTAGTAGTAATTGTTTTTTTTTTTATTTGTAGGCAAAGATTGAAAATGTGCAGAAAACAGGTTTCATCAAGGGACCAATCTTTAAAGGTGTTGCTTCGAGTCGATTTTTGCCCAAAGGCACCAAGACAAAAGTTAATTTGGAAGAACAAGGACGACAGAAGGTGTCATTCAGCTTCAGCCTTACAAAGAAAACTTTGCCGAATAGGTTTCTCACCGCACTTGGCAATGAAAAGCAAAGTGATACTCCAAACCCTCCAGCTGTACCTCTTCAGGTAGACTCAACCCCTAAAATGAAAATGGAAATTGGTGATACCTTATCTACTGCAGAAGAATCTTCTCCACCAAAGTCAAGGGTGGAATTGGGCAAAATTCATTTTAAGAAACACCTGCTTCATGTAACATCCAGGCCACTGCTGGCTACTACCACAGCAGTAGCATCTCCGCCTACTCATGCAGTGCCATTACCAGCAGTGATAGCAGAATCAACAACTGTAGACTCACCACCCTCATCCCCACCTCCACCGCCTCCACCCCCGCAAGCCACAACACCCTCATCACCAGCACCAGTAACAGAGCCAGTGGCCTTGCCACATACACCAATAACAGTTCTAATGGCAGCACCAGTACCCTTACCAGTAGATGTAGCAGTTAGAGCTCTGAAAGAACCACCAATTATAATTGTACCAGAATCTTTAGAAGCAGATACTAAGCAGGACACTGTATCTAATAGTTCAGAAGAACACGTAACTCAAAATTTGAATGAGCAAGCAGATATTTCCTCAAAAAAAGAAGATTCCCATATTGGGAAGGATGAAGAAATTCCAGATAGTTCTAAGATTAGTCTGAGCTGTAAAAAAACAGGTTCTAAGAAGAAATACTCACAATCTGAAGGCACCTTTCTTGGTTCAGAATCTGATGAAGATTCTGTACGGACTTCTTCAAGTCAAAGATCACATGATTTAAAATTTTCAGCAAGCATTGAAAAGGAAAGAGATTTTAAAAAGAGCTCAGCACCTTTAAAAAGTGAGGATCTGGGGAAGTCTTCACGATCTAAAACAGAGAGAGATGATAAATACTTTAGCTATTCAAAACTTGAAAGAGATACTCGGTATGTATCTTCCCGATGTAGATCAGAAAGAGAGCGACGGCGGAGCAGATCTCGTTCTAGGTCTGACAGAGGCTCTAGAACTAATTTATCCTATTCCCGGTCGGAACGATCTCATTATTATGACTCTGATCGTCGCTACCATAGGAGCTCCCCTTATCGAGAGAGGACACGCTATTCTCGACCATACACAGATAACAGAGCACGAGAGAGTTCTGACTCAGAAGAAGACTATAAGAAGACATACTCAAGGCGTACCTCATCTCATTCCTCTTCTTACAGAGACCTAAGGACATCATCCTATTCTAAATCTGATCGGGACTGTAAAACTGAGACTTCTTACTTAGATATGGAAAGAAGAGGCAAGTATTCTTCAAAACTAGAAAGAGAATCTAAAAGGACTTCAGAAAATGAAGCAATGAAAAGATGTTGTTCTCCCCCTAATGAACTGGGATTCCGACGAGGGTTATCATATTCTAAGCACGACAGTAGTGCTTCCCGTTATAAATCTACCCTTTCAAAACCAATACCCAAGTCTGATAAATTTAAAAATTCTTTCTGTTGTACAGAATTAAATGAAGAAATCAAACAGTCTCATTCTTTTAGTTTACAAACACCTTGTTCAAAAGGTAATGAATTAAGAATGATTAATAAAAATCCTGAAAGAGAAAAGCCTGGGTCTCCATCTCCATCAAATCGATTAAATGATTCACCTACTTTTAAAAAGCTAGATGAATTGCCTATTTTTAAGTCTGAATTTATAGCACATGATAGCCATGATAGTATTAAGGAATTGGACTCTTTATCTAAAGTGAAGAATGATCAATTAAGAAGCTTTTGTCCCATAGAATTAAATATAAATGGATCTCCTGGGGCAGAATCTGATTTGGCAACATTTTGCACTTCTAAAGCTGATGCTGTTTTAATGACTTCTGATGATAGTGTGACTGGATCGGAGGTATCACCTTTGGTCAAAGCATGTGTGCTTTCATCAAATGGATTTCAGAATATTAGTAGATGCAAAGAAAATGACTCGGATGATACATGCATGCTACATAATAAGTCAGAAAGCCCATTTAGAGAAACAGAACCTCTGGTGTTGCCACACCAAGATAAACTCATGTCTTTGCCAGTTATGACTATAGATTATTCCAAAACAGTAGTTAAAGAACCAGTTGATACGAGGGTTTCTTGCTGCAAAACCAAAGATTCAGACATATACTGTACTTCAAACGTCAGCAACCCTTCTTTGTGTAACTCCGAAGCTGAAAATATTGAGCCTTCAGTTACGAAGATTTCTTCAAATAGCTTTATGAATGTGCATTTGGAATCAAAAACAGTTATAAGTGATAATAGAAATTTGACAGACCACTCAAAATTTGCATGTGAAGAATATAAGCAGAGCGTTGGTAGCACTAGTTCAGCTTCTGTTAATCATTTTGATGATTTATATCAGCCTATTGGGAGTTCAGGTATTGCTTCATCTCGTCAGAGTCTTCCACCAGGAATAAAGGTGGACAGTCTAACTCTCTTGAAATGCGGAGAGAACATGTCTCCAGGTCTGGATGCAGTACTAAAGAGTAAAAAAAGTTCAGAGTTTTTAAAGCGTGCAGGGAAAGAAACAATAGTAGAAGTAGGTAGTGACCTTCCTGATTCAGGAAAGGGATTTGCCTCCAGGGAGAAAAGACATAACAATGGGCTATCTGGAAAATGTTTGCAAGAGGCTCAAGAAGAAGGGAATTCCGTATTGCCTGTTAGAAGAGGAAGACCAGAAATCTCTTTAGATGAAGGAGAAAGAGGATGTATGCATACTTCTGATGACTCAGAAGTTGTATTTTCTTGTGATTTGAATTTAACCATGGAAGACAGTGATGGTGTAACTTATGCATTAAAATGTGACAGTAGTGGTCATGCCCCAGAAATTGTGTCTACTGTCCATGAAGATTATTCTGGCTCTTCTGAAAGTTCAAGTGATGAAAGTGATTCAGAAGATACAGATTCTGATGACAGCAGTATTCCAAGAAACCGTCTCCAGTCTGTTGTGGTTGTGCCAAAGAATTCTACTTTGCCCATGGAAGAAACGAGTCCTTGTTCTTCTCGGAGCAGTCACAGTTATAGACACTATTCTGACCATTGGGAAGATGAGAGGTTGGAGTCAAGGAGACATTCCTATGAGGAAAAATTTGAAACTATAGCAAGTAAAGCTTGTCTTCAAACTGATAAGTTTTTCCTTCATAAAGGAACAGAAAAGAATCCAGAAATTTCTTTTACACAGTCCAGTAGAAAACAAGTAGATAACCACCTGCCTGAACTTTCTCATCCTCAGAGTGATGGGGTTGATAGTACAAGTCATACAGATGTGAAATCTGACCATCTGGGTCACCTAAATTCAGAGGAAACTGTGAAAGCCAAAATATCTTGTAGGCAGCAAGAACTGCCAATTTATTCTTCTGATTTTGAAGATGTCCCAAGTAAGTCTTGGCAACAGACCACTTTCCCAAACAGGCCGGATAGTAGACTGGGAAAAACAGAATTGAGTTTTTCTTCGTCTTGTGAGATATCGCATGTGGATGGCTTGCACTCATCAGAAGAGCTCAGAAACTTAGGGTGGGACTTCTCTCAAGAAAAGCCTACTACCACGTATCAGCAACCTGACAGTAGCTATGGAGCTTGTGGTGCACACAAGTATCAGCAAAGTGCAGAACAGTATGGTGGGACACGTGATTACTGGCAAGGCAATGGTTACTGGGATCCAAGATCAGGTAGACCTGGAACTGGGGTTGTATATGATCGAACTCAAGGACAAGTACCAGATTCCCTGACAGATGATCGGGAAGAAGAGGAGAATTGGGATCAACAGGATGGATCCCACTTTTCAGACCAGTCCAACAAATTTCTGGTATCCCTTCAGAAAGACAAGGGGTCAGTGCAAGCACCTGAAATAAGCAGCAATTCCATTAAGGACACTGTAGCTGTGAATGAAAAGAAAGATTTTTCAAAAAACTTAGAAAAAAATGATATCAAAGATAGAGGGCCTCTTAAGAAAAGGAGGCAGGAAATAGAGAGTGATTCTGAAAGTGATGGTGAACTTCAGGACAGAAAGAAAGTTAGAGTGGAGGTAGAGCAGGAAGAGACATCATTGCCCCCAGGCTCAGCACTAGTTGGGCCCTCCTGTGTCATGGATGACTTCAGGGACCCACAGCGATGGAAGGAATGCGCCAAGCAGGGGAAAATGCCTTGTTACTTTGATCTTATTGAAGAAAATGTTTATTTAACAGAAAGGTAAGTTTAATTTACTTGTCTGACAAATTTTATTATTGTTTTTTCTTTTTTTTAAATTCCTGTTTGGATTAGATTGTTTGACAAATTTTAACTCCTTTTTTTGTTGTTAAAAAAGAAAAAGTTAGCTTTTAAACAATTCAGACCGTATGAGATTAACCACATGAAAGAGTTGTGAGATAAATTTAAAAGCCTAAAAAAGTGTTTTTACCTATTTAGATTTGATAGTATAGATTCCTTTCCCAATTTTCTCCATCAGGAAAGGAGATGTCTAATTTTTTTCTTTTATTATTTATTTGGTTTTCAAGGTATAATTTAGGCTAGCCGAGTTTTTCTGTAATTCCTTTTACATGAGACAGTGTGTCAAAAAAAAAAAAAAAAAAAAAAAAAAGAATAAAACCCCAGCAAAATAGTCTGTTCTTAGAGAAGAAAAATGTGATTACATTGGATTTTGTTTTCTCACTTTCTAAAATGTGCAGAATGAAGTATCTTTGGGTACTGTATTAATTCGTTTTAACGCTGCTGATAAAGATATATCCGAGACTGGGAAGAAAAAGCGGTTTAATTGGACTTACAGTTCCACATGGCTGGGGAGGCCTCAGAATCGTGACAGGAGGCAAAAGACATTTCTTACATTGTGGTGGCAAGAGAAAATGAGGAAGAAGCAAAAGTGAAAACCCCTGATAAACCCATCAGATCTTGGGAGACATATTCATCATCACGAGAATAGTGCAGGAAAGATGGCCTCCATGATTCAGTTACCCCCTCCTGGGTCCCTCTCACAACACATAGGAATTCTGGGAGATAAAATTCAAGTTGAAATTTGGGTGGGGAAACAGTCAAACCATATTGGGTACTTATAAAGTTAAAATTAGACTAGAGCATGATATTTTTCTGCATTTTTTTTTTTGCCTATTAATAGATTAAATCTGGTAATAGTGTAATATTTTAGAAATGATAAAGTGGTTTATCAAAAAATCCCTGAAATGAAACAGAATATAATGAGAATAGGAGTGATGAAGACATTAGAGCAGGACTTCAGTCTGTTTTAACTCTAACCCCTCCTTAATAATTGTCTCATTTTCCTGATGTAAATATATGTTGATTGTGTTTAAAAAAACCAAAACAAAAACTATCCTACCTATTTACTCTCCCCTTTTGGAAGTTTTCCTGCTAGTTGAAAATCAGTGTAGCCATTGTACCTTTAAGCATCAAAATGTTATTAAATCAAATTTTCACTGTGTGTAAGGTAAAAGACTTCATGTTAAAGGTAGATTCCACCAGAAATTTTTTCCTATTAAAAAATAACCTTTTCATATTACAGAGAGCCTTTTACAGTTATATTTGTTTACATCTAGTTGTAAATTAGGTTTACATTGAAAATATTCGATATTTTAAGTGGTACCCTTTGGGAATTGTGTGAGTAGACTAATGGAATTTACAGGGTCTTTTTAAATGAATGTAAATAAAACGAATCAGTTCAATTCTCTGGCTTTTCTTTAGCAATGAGAATCAGGTATATATAAAAGTGTATGCACATAATTTTTGTTGGTGGAGGCATAAGAGGACTTCCACCACTTTGCAGTGGGAAGGATTTATATACATTCAACTTTTTTTTTTTTTTTTTGAGACAGAATCTCACTTTGTCACCCAGGGTAGAGTGCAGTGGTATGATCTCTGCTCACTGCAACCTCTGCTGGGCACCACCACGCCCAGCTAATTTATGTATTTTTAGTAGAGATGGGTTTTGCCATGTTGGTCAGGCTGGTCTCAAGTGCCTGACGTCAGGTGGTCCAACCACCTTGGCCTCCCAAAGTCCTGGGATTACAGGTGTCAACCACCATGCCCGGCCTATATATTCAACATTTTTGAAGTGCCTGTTATATGCTAGGCATTTAGGAGCCACTAAGAGGACAAACTTATAAAGAATAGTTTGAGTATAATGAAAAGATTTTTCTTAGGTTTAATGGAAAAGGGCTTACCTGCCAAAATCTATGTCCATTAGTCCTATTCCAGCCTTAGAGAGCAATACAAAATAAAGCTGCTGCTGATTCTTCAAAATTGCAGCTAAGTACTTCTAAATAGATATTTTATTTATCTTTAGTCATCTTCAGGCCAAGCATATTCATATACTCATTAATGAATTGTGTCTTTAATCAAGAGGAATCATTCTTTTCACCTAAACTTAGTTAAAACTATCATAACACTCTTTAGGTACTTTATAAAATTGGCACTAGAATAGAACATACATTGAAGATTAAAGCAGATTAGAGGTAGGAGATTAGATAGCCACTTAGAGCAGATATGCTGTTTCCTGTTTAATAGTCAAGAGTAAGTTATAGTTTATAGTTCCCTAATTTTTTTTTCTGTTTTATTTTCTTATTTTTTTGGTTCCCTAATCTTAACTTTTAACAGATCTTTTTCGACCATCTTTAGGGTTTTTTGTTTGTTTGTTTTTAGACAGTAAAAAAACTAGTTCAGCAAAAAGGCCAATAAACAATCACATTTTCACTTTTGCTTTGTAAACTCTGGCATGAGTTATTATGAACCCAATCAAATTTTAGCAGTTTTTGTTCTCCTCCAAAATAAATCTGTCTGCATGGAGAAAGTTTAGCCCTCTGAAACTTATACCTGAGTATTCTGTAATCACATTTTATTTTAAAAATCCAGTCTTTTTTTTTTTTTTTTTGGCAAAATGAATCATTTTTATTTGTATGGTACTAGTGCGATTTGTTACACAGATACATTGCATAGCGGCGAAGTCTGGGCTTTTAGCATAACCATCACCTGAACAATGTACATTGTACTCATTAAGTAATTTCTCATCTCTGACCCCCTTTCATCCTTCTGAGTCTCCAATGTCTGTTATTCCATATGCCATGTCCATGTGCACATATTGTTTAGCTCTAAGTGAGAACATGCAGTATTTGACTGTTTCTGAGTTTTTCGCATAAGACAATGACTTCCAGTTCCATACATGTTGCTGCAAAAGAATTGACTTCATTTTTTATGGCTGAATAATATTCTACTGTATGTGTGTATACATATGTATGTATATATACCATACAAAATGAATCTTTAGACCGGTTTACAGGACTGGCACCAGAAGAAATGGGGAAGGAGACACATTTGTAGTCAGGTCCTCTTCTCCCTGGAGTGCTCTTTTGCATTTCTTATGTCTTCTCCAACCTCGTGATGAGATCAGCCTTAGATCCTTGTTTCCAGAGAGCTTATTCAGCAGCCAGTGTTAGGACAGTTGTTCTTAATTTTTAGGTGTACTAGACTTACTTGTGGAACTCATAAAAGTACACATCCCTACAACATGTTCCAGGAGATTCAGGTTCAGTATGTCTTGGGTGGGGCCCAGGAATCAACATTTTGCATAAGCTTCCAGGAGATTCTGATGCAGTTATCACTTGGAGAAACACCATTGTCTTAGGATGGATTCCCCAAAAGCTGGTTCTGAGAGGGCATTCATGAGAAAGTGATTTCGTAAGGAAGTGCTTTTAGGAGAAACTTCGTCGTTATTGAGAGAAGTAGGAAAGGGAACCAAACAGCGGTCGGATTTCAGGCAAAGTCCTGGGAAGGGTAGCTTCATCCTGATCTCACAGAGGACCTCTGGAGTGTAAGTAATCCCTCAGGGTTGTCCCCTCTTCCCCAGTCAAGGCTTTTATATTCTTGCGCTATGGGACATTGGGTAACAGCTAATCACTGGATGGGGGAAACCTAAACTCCCAGGCACTTCCATGTGGGCAAATGATTCCAGTAGCTTCCAGAAAGTCCTCTGGAGTTACAGGCATGGGCTTTACAATCGTCTTTTTTTTTCACCTCCACTTTCTTTTCTGTTTTCCTTTATAATCGTCCTTTTCTGCCTCTGAGTATAGGTCCCTCACTGAGAAATTTGCCAGACGATTTCTGGAAACTGACTTGTGAACTAATTGGGCACTTTTGCTGTGCGGAGGAACAAAGACTCTATTGGTCTTCAACTGAGGCATATACCTGTCTCATGGCGTTGGCTCATTCCGCACATGCTCAGTTGAACAGAAATCATTTTGAATGCAACCTAGCACAGCGGCAACACCCAGAACCTCACTCCCTGGCTGCCCCTGTGCCTGCACTCCCTCTAGTTGCATTTTGTACCTGACAAGCCTAACATTTGTGGGAAGTATAGAGAATAGAGTAAGTGTTGGGAGTTTGGGGGCAATATACAAAGGAGCTTAAAGTTGCAGTTTGTCACTGCCTTCCTGGTTTCTCTCTCTAGTGAGGGTAAGCGCTGGATAGATACTCGCTGAGTTTGGGCCAGAACGTGGGAGAAGCTGTCTCCATAGATGGCCACGTGCTGCTGTCGCACCTTCCTAGGCAGTTTTTGTCAAGTCCTTTTAGTTTTTGTCTAGTCCTCTTGTCTACCCTTACCCCCAGCCCTACTCTTCATTAAGGAATAACAGGGTGGCTCTAAAAGCATCTGCTGCCAAGCACGGCTTCAGTGACAACCTCTCTCTACCTCTGTTTTAGCCTTTGCATTCATTCGCACCCTTTCCCTGCCTCTTTTCCCAACAAAAAACTGGGAAAGGCTCCCTGCGATTACAAAAGAAGGGGTAATGGCCGGAGTTCCATGCCCCTGGCTGGACAACGAGCATGCAGCCGTGGACCTTTTGTCTCCATCCTCTTTCGCGGCTTGGTCGTGGTTAGGCGCAGAGACAACGACCCCACTTGCCAATCCTCCGCGCACTCTAGAATCGCAGTGCCCACCCTTTCGCCGTGACGTCCAATCTGCTTTTTAAACAAAATTTATGCAAATGTGATGTTACTGATAGATACTGTAAAATACTGGATTGAGTTAGAACTCACACATTCTTTTATTTTTTTAGAAACCCCTTTTCTTCCTCAACCTTCTATTTAAACTATTATTTGGTCATCCATGAGGTCTGATTCTTAACTTTAACCAGCTATGTCACTATTTGAAATGTATGAGTTTTCCTATTTTTCCCAGAACGTAGTATGACTTTAAACACTTGAAACTGTTCAGAATCCAATGCTTAGCTGACCTGGACTAGGAAATAAGGGCTGAATTCCAGAATGATTAGTCTTGAACTCATTTCATCTTTCCCATTTGCCAAGGTTAAGGTTGCCCTTCTCATGTTTCTTTTTGTAAGGCAGTTCTTAAGGTTTTCAGTCTCACACGTACTAATGATGTTTTATTTTGAATGGTTGACTTACAGGAATCATTAAATGTGAATCTAACCAGGTGTAGTGAGTCATGCCTGTAATTGCAGCACTTTGGGAAGTAGAGGCAGGGGGATTGCTTGAGCTCAGGCGTTTAAGACCAGCCTGAGCAACATGGACCCTGTCACTACAGAATATTAAAAAAAAAAAAAAAAAAATTAGCCAAGTGTGGTGGCACACGCTGTGGTCCCAGCTGTTCAGGAGGTGGAAGTAGGAGGATCATTTGAATTCAGGAGGTTGAGGCTGCAGTGAGCCTTGATTGCATCACTGCACCTGGGCCTGGGTGACAGAACAAGACCCCGTTTAAAAAAAAAAAAAGAATCTAATGAGATTTAGCACATATTTGATTATATATGTTATATATCATTGCCAGGAAATTTGTTTAATCAGTTTTTATGAAATTTTACCCAATAGAAAGAAGAATAAATCTCATCGAGATATTAAGCGAATGCAGTGTGAGTGTACTCCTCTTTCTAAAGATGAACGAGCTCAAGGTGAAATAGCCTGTGGGGAAGATTGTCTTAATCGTCTCCTCATGATTGAATGGTAAGTAAATTAGAATGCTCTGCTTTTGTTCAACACTTCTATTAAATGTCTCTAAATATTGAATTATCAATGAAGAATAACATTTAACCTTTCTTACCTATGGATGACTATAAGCAAAAAAGTATAGTAGATACTTTGATGTATAGTAGAAAACAGATATTAATAGGGAAACAAATTTCCCTTATATCGTGCATTAGATTACAGTACCTTCCATGTTTTAAGTGCTCTCTAAAGTAGTCCTATAATAATTTCTATTTGGTACTTTTTTTTTTATCTTTTGTAATATTCGTGTCCTAGGAGGTAAATGATGATATTTTTTAGCTTTCACTATGAAATGAAATAAAACCCTAACATTTCAGAAATACATGAAATGAATGTCTTCCTCTCTCAAACATCAATCCCATTGTTTTGTCTTTTTTCCAGAAAACTTTTAATGCCTATGCTAGCATAGGTAGATGTTTTCCTCTTTTTATGTATACAAATAAAACCTTATTCTATATACTTGCTGGGATTTGTTAATCAGACCTAATCAGAGCTATATGTACAGACCTGTCTAAATCTTTCTCTTGACTGCATTATGTATTCTATTCATAGTTAACCTATAATTATTCTGTTGACAGACATATGCTTCTGTAGTATTCTTATAAATAGTAAATATCTTTACATTAAAATATTTAATTTTGGCCAGGTGTGGTGGCTTGTGCTTGTAATCCCAGCTATTTGGGAGGCTGAGATGGGCAGATCACTTGAGTCCAGGAGTTCAAGATCAGCCTAGCCAACATGGCAGAAACCCCATCTCTACTAATAAAATACAAAAATTAGCCTTTGTGGTGGTGGGTGCCTGTAATCCCAGCTACTCGAGAGGCTGAGGCAGGAGAAGCACTTGAACCCAGGATATGGAGGTTGGAGTGAGCTATCACTCCACTGTACCCCAGCCTGGATGACAGAGTGAGACCTTGTCTCAAAATAATAATAATAATTTTCTTTTTAACCAATCTGATCAATGAAAAATATATTCTTGTCCTTAACATGGAACGAGTATATCTTATTTTTAATGTTAGTGAACTGTTTTTTTCTCAAAGCCCAGTTTTTGGTTTTGCTTCATGTTGTAGTGTTGTAAAAATAAAATATATATACCTTGAAAAATAAAAAAAGAGAAAGCATTTTTGGTATTCTTTTATCCAAACTAAAGGGAGAGGTGACAGTACAGATGTTAAGAAGAGGAGAGACATAGGGTTAGCATTATTCTAACTTCATATTGTTGCCCTAGTCATTTTTCTGGGTTTTGCTGCCAACCTCGTGAAGCTTATATGAAGAAAATAATTTCTTCATATTAATCACACATTTGAGCTTTTAGTAGTTCTCTGTCATTCTCATGATTGGGTTCAAACTTAGCCTTGTATTCAGAGGCCTTCATAGCATATCATCAGCCTGTCTTTTCATCCTCCAGCAGCTCACCTTTCTTATCAGTTATCTTTAGCTGTTTCATTTCCCTTTGTCCAAACAGGGATTGTTTTCCTATTTCTGCACACAGGCAGGGACAGTTGTATTTTTAGCTTTCTTTATGCATATCCTATGTATCATTAGAGATTCTGCCTTAAATTCTCTTCCCTCCTGAAAGCCTTCCTTTATATTGCCTCAGTCTAGAGCAAATCCTTCATCCTCTGACCATTGCTAAAAATGTTATTTGCTACTCGGTTGGCAACAAATAATAATGTATTCAAAATGACTGGTAATTTCTAGTGGTCTTTTAAATTTTATTTATTTATATTTTTGAGACAGTCTCCTGTCACCCAGGCTGGAGCGCAGTGGTGCAATTTCGGCTCACTACAACCTCTGCCTCCTGAGTTTAAGCAGTTCTCCTGCCTCACCCTTCTGAGTAGCTGGGATTACAGGCATGCACCCTCATGTCTGGCTAATTTTTGTATTTTTAGTAGACACAGGGTTTCACTATGTTGGCCAGGATGGTCTTGATTCCTGACCTCAAGTGATCTGCCTGCCTCGGCCTCCCAAAGTGCTGGGATTATAGGCATGAGCCACTGCACTTGGCCCCCTCTAGTGTAGTCTTAATCATTATTAAAAACCTTTATATCTATCATATATTAAGAAGTCAGTCAGTGTTTGATTTTATCATTTTTACTTTAGGATCCATGGGAGAAGAGCCTTGCCATGATGCTGTGTTTACTCTGATCAAGGATATGTTTAATAATGACTAAATTTTCTCAAAGAGTTAGCTGCATTCAAAAAACGAAATTAAGGGTGAATAGAGTAGAAAGAAGGGAAGATGCACTTACAGAAAATAACTTAGTTCTGTAGAGTTGTCAATGTACTGAAAGCTTACATGCAGCCTGAATATGTTTTCTAGACACCTAGGGAGTGGTAGACATTTCCTGTGAAGACCAGACGACAAGACTGTATGGTGGGACTGTATGATGGGTATGATATGTTTAAGTAACAGTGTACATACTACTTAGTACTAAGGAATCCCTTCGTGATGGAAAGAAAGGAAGGCTCATTTGGGGGTTAGTCATACACATGCTAATTATACCATAAAAGTATGTATATATATAGTTATACTAACACATTTTTTCAAAGTTATTTTGGTTCTTTTGATGCTTTAAATAAGTTTCCTCTTTTTCTCATTTCAGTTCTTCTCGGTGTCCAAATGGGGATTATTGTTCCAATAGACGGTTTCAGAGAAAACAGCATGCAGATGTGGAAGTCATACTCACAGAAAAGAAAGGCTGGGGCTTGAGAGCTGCCAAAGACCTTCCTTCGTAAGTTCTGTTTTAATCACCTTTCACTTTTTTTTTTTTTTTGGAAACAAGGTCTCATTCTGTTACCCAGTCTGGAGTGCAGTGGCATGATCTTGGCTCACTGCAACCTCCACTCCCCGGTTCAAGTGATTCTCTTGCCTCAGCCTCTGAAGCAGCTGGGACTACAGGCACACACCACCGTGCCCGACTAATTTTTGTGTATTTTTTGGTAGAGACGTTGTTTCACCATGTTGGTCAGACTGGTTTTGAACTCCTGACCTCAAGTTATCCACCCACCTTGGCCTCCCAAAGTACTGGGATTACAGGCGTGAGCCACGGTGCCCAGCCTTGACTTCATTTTTGTGTTGTTGAACTTAGATTTTTTTTTTTTCCTTCCTGAGATGGAGTCGTGCCCTGTCACCTAGACTGGAGTACAGTGGCGCAATCTTGGCTCACTGCAACCCCCGCCTCCTGGGTTCAGTGATTCTACTGCCTTAGCCTCCCTTATAGCTGGGATTACAGGCACCCACCACCACACCCGGCTAATATTTGTATTTTTAGTAGAGGTGGAGTTTCACCATATTGGCCAGGCTGGTTTCGAATTCCTGATGTCATGATCTGCTCGCCTCAGGCTCACAAAGTGCTGGGATTACAGGTGTGAGCCACTGTGCCCAGCCAATTTTTTTGTATTTTTAATAGAGATAGGGTTTCACCATGTTGGCGAGGCTGGTCTCAAACTCCTGATTTCAGCTTTTTGTTTTGTTAACCTTGTTAGCCTTTCAGGCTGGTCAGGGTTTCAAGACCAGCCTGGCCAACATGGCAAAACCCTGTCTGTACTAAAAATACAAAAATTAGCTGGGTGTGGTGCCACGTGGCTGTAATCTCAGCTACTCAGGAGGCTGAGGTAGGAGAATTGCTTGAACTTGGAGACGGAGGTTGCAGTGAACTGAGATTGTGCCACTGCATTCCAGCCTGGGAGACAGAGTAAGACTCCATCTCAAAAAAAAATTAGGCTGGTGGCTCATGCCTGTAATCCCGGCACTTTTGGTGGCTGAGGCAGGCAGATCACCTGAGGGCAGGAGTTCAAGACCAGCCTGGCCAATGTGGTGAAACTGGTGAAACCCTGTCGCTACTAAAAAATACAAAAATTAGCCAGATGTACTGGCAGGTGCCTGCAATCCCAGCTACTTGGGAGGCTGAGGCAGGAAAATCTCTTGAACCTGGTAAGCTGAGGTTGCAGTGAGCCAAGATCATGAGACTGCACTCCAGCCTGAGTAACAAGAGTGAAACTCCGAAAAACAAAACGAAACAAAAATTAGCCAGACACGGTGGCACACACCTGTAATCCCAGCTACTCAAGAGACTAAGGCAGAAGAATTACTTGAACCCAGGAGGGGAAGGAGGTTGCAGTGAGCCGAGATCACACCACTGTATTACAGCCTGGGCGACAGAGCAAGACTATCTCAAAAAAAAAAAAAAAAAAAATATATATATATATATATATATTCTTAGTGAAAGTCAAGTGCCTCTTACGTTGCATTTAAATATGAACAGATTACATGTGTGTATGGTTGAAACATTGAAAAAATATATAAAGGAAAAAAGCGGAAGGAAATAAAACATTTGCTGGATTCTAGTAACTTAGACATAACTTCTTTTAGAACCCTCTAAGCATATGGCCACACTTGGATGGGAGTTGGAGTTGGGGCAGGACTTGGGCAGGGGTTAGTCTGTTTATTGTGGGAATTCAAAATACAGATAATAAAGACAATAATTTCGGGTGTATTTTTCCTCACTGTTTTCCCCTTGGCAATAATTTAGTTTTATGACAAGAATCCTCATATATCTTTTGATAAGCAAATTGTTTTTTTTTTCTTTTGAAAATAGGAAATGATGTTTATATTAGTCTATCCTTTTGGTACCAATCAGAAAACACGTTTTGTTACACAAAAAATGGGCCAGTAGGACCCTCGTAGATTTCTCTTCTCCTTAAAGGGTTGTACAAACACATCCTGGCTCCTAACCAGTTTTTGTTATTTTCTGTTTTTTTGAGACAGGGTCTTGCCCTGTCACCCTTGCTGGAGCGTCCTGGCATGAACATGGCTCACTGCAGTCTCGACCTCTCAAGCTCAGTTAATCCTCCTGCCTCAGTCTCCTGAGTAGCTGAGACTGTAGATGTGAGCCACTATGCCCAGCTAATTTTTTTTCCATTTTTTGTAGAAATGGGGTTTCACTATGTCACTATGTTGCCTATGCTCATCCTAACTGGTTTCTAATTGTTTCTTGGAAACAGATATCTCACAGAATTGTCTCATTATGTTCCATACCCAATTCATTGGATTCTTTATAATATTTTAAACAAAGAATCGGTTATACTTCCTTTGAACACTTTTAATGATACAGAACTCAGTACCTCTCAAGGCAGCCCATTGAATTTCCAGAGTTACTAGTTCTTGTCCAGATGCACATTTTCAAAGATGCCTTCTTTCATTCTGCCCTAGCCAGCCAGGCCTTCTCCTTGAGGTTTTTTTTTTTAAAAATTATTGTTGTTGTTTTACAAAAGGAACCAGTTTGGACACAAGTCTCTCTTGCAGAGACAGTAATGGATGAGCTGTCTGGACACTCGTACTTTGTGGAATCTGTAGTAAAACCCACAGCTTCAAACCTGATCTAAACTCCGTTACTTGCAATAGACATTCTTTGTTAGCTCAGTGCTTTTATATTAAGGGGTAAGGTGATTGGGGAAGGATGGAAAGGAGGTATGGCTCCAGTTCATATGCCAGGTTAACATTTCCTAAAGCTGTGGCTGGGCACTGTGGCTCACACCTTTAATCCCAGCATGTTGAGGCTGAGGTGGGCGGATCATGAGGTCAACAGATCGAGACCATCTTGGCCAACAGGGTGAAATCCTGTCTCTACTAAAAATACAAAAATTAACTGGGTGTGGTGGTGTGTTCCTATAGTCCCAGCTATTCGGGAAGCTGAGGCAGGAGAATCGCTTGAACCTGGTAGGCAAAGGTTACGGCGAGCCGAGATTATGCCACTGCACTCTGGCCTGGTGACAGAGTGAAACTCTGTCTCAAAAAAAAAAAAAATTTCCTAAAGCTCTTCAGTTTTTTTCAGCTATTCACAAAGAACTCTGCTTTGGTAAAGTATACTAGGACTTAATGTTTCCATGTTTCCCATACCTTCTTACTCCTATAACTTTCATATGATGATGGTAATACCAATAGTTTATGAATTTCATAAACTAATCAAAACTCTTGAGGTTTACTGGTAGAGTATTACCATTTTATAAGGACAGATTGTCAGATCTCCACAGGATGAGAAATTTTGAGCTAAGTTGCTAGTTAGTGTTAAAGTACCAAAAAGCAGATTCCTACCAAAACCCCTGTAGTTTTAGGAAATCTCCCAGTTGTAGGTAGAGAAGGTGGGGCTGTCCAGGTTGACTTAATGTAATTGAATACCAGATAGGGTTTTAATTTTGGTAAAATTCACATAATATAATATTGACCATTTTAAAGTGTACCATTTAGTGCATTCACAATCTTGTGCAGCCATCACCTTTGTCTATGTCCAAAACATTTTCATAATTTGAAAAGGGAATCCTGTACCTGTTAAGCAGAATCTTCTCATACCCGCCTCCTCCCAGGCCTGGCAGCCAGTAATTTGCTTTCTGTTTCTATGGATTAAGCTATTCTCGGTATTTCATATAAATGAAATTATACAATATGTGGTCTTTTGTGTCTGGCTTCTTTCACTTAGCATTATGTTTTTGAGGTTTCATCTGTACTGTAGCACATGTCAGTACTTAATTCCTATTTATGGCTGAATAATACTGTCTCGTATGGATGTATGATATTTTGTATATCCTTTTTTTTAAATTTATTTTTGAGATGGAGTCTTGTTCTGTTGCCTCGGCCAGAGTGTAGTGGCATGATCACAGCCCAGTGTAACCTCTGCCTCCTGGGTTTAAGCAATTCTCCTGCCTCAGCCTCCTGAGTAGCAGGGATTACAGTCATGTGCCACCACGCCTGGCTAGTTTTGCACTTTCAGTAGAGATGGGGTTTTACCATGTTGGCCAGCCTGGTCACGAACTCCTGATCTCAAGTGATCTGCACCCAACTTGGCCTCCTAAAGTGCTGGGAAGACAGGGGTGAGCCACTGTACCCGGCCTAAATGAGGCTTTTTTGGAAGCCATCTTTCCTCTCCACTTTTTTTTTGCTGTTTTTCAACACAGGGTCTCACTCTGTTGCCCAGGCTGGAATGCAGTGGCGCGATCACAGCTTACTGCCACCTCGACTTTCTGGGCTCTGATGATCCTCCCACCTCGGCCTCCTGAGTAGCTGGGACTACAGGTGTAGACTATAATACTCAACTAATTTTTTTTTGTACTTTTAGTAGAGACAGGGTTTCACCGTGTTGCCCAGGTTGGTCTCGAACTCCTGAGCTCCTCCTTTCACCTTGGCTTCCCGAAATGATGGTATTACAGATGTGAGCCACCACACCTGGCCCGTTTTATAAGTCAAAAGTTTCAAACTTACAGAAAAGTAAGTTCATAAAGCCTAAAGAGAGTTACATACATTACCCGTAACTCCTAAACCCTTCCATAGCTTTGTAGTGATAGTGACAATATATATCCCCATCTGCCTGCCACAGTAGAGCCCTGTAGCCCTGAACAGTCTTTAAGGAGTTCAGTGAAGTGACCCTATTCATCCAGGAGCAAATTTCAGACTTAGAAAAAGATTAATAAGATTACAAGAATCATACTTCTCATTGCCTTTGCCTTCATGGGATTTAGTCACTGCATGCCAGGTAATTTGATGTTTTTCTGCTTTGTTTTTATTTTGGTTTCTAATTGAGACACATAGCTTCTCTAAGAAAACCAAATCTTAGAATTTTAAGGACTGCATGATAAACTTTTACATAGGCCTCTGTTAGTTTCTTGGAGGTTAGGTAGCTGAAGGGTCTAGCCTACATTCTGAGAATAACTGAGGACTTTGAGATGCTTCTCTCAGCTGCTTCCTCAAGCTCTCAAACTGTTAGATCCATGTGTGTTGGTATATCCTTCCGACTTCCTGATGTGAGGTCTCTACTCTGATTGATTTAGTGGTTGGTCAGGCTCTGGTATTTAAGAACTTGTTCTAGAAAAGGCGATTTGAGAGTAATATCATTAGAATTGAATATTTTAGTATAATTCAAGAAAGCATCTTTATAATACAATGAGGTAAATAGTTATTCAGGTGGGTTTGAATCCCAGGCTGTAATTGAGCTTTATTAGTTCGGTAGATGATCTGTGTTATCTAAACTCTGTCTTATCTGTCAAATGGTCATAATGCTATGTGACATCAGTATGCTTAATTTTTATTTTTCATGCTACCTTTCAAAAGCAGGAAATCAGCCTTAAAGGAGCAAGTTCAGGGAAGATAATTAGATTTTTGGTAGGAGAGGGAATGGAAATATTTTTTATGTGTGCAGTTCCAGATCCTGGATAAGATATGTTTTGTAGTCATCACATTTAATTCACAAGGCAGTCTATGATGTATCATTTTTTTCCTCTTTTTTAAATTAAAAAAATGTTTTTTAAATTTTTATTTATTTATTTATTTTGATAGAGACGGGATTTTGCCATGTTGCCCAGCTGGTCTCGAGCTCCCAGGCTCAAGTGATCTACACACCTCAGCCCTCCTCTGCTGGGATTACAGACATAAGCCACTGTGCCCAGCCTTTTTTTTTTTTTTTTAAATGAGACAGGGTCTTGCTCTGTCACCTAGGCTGAGTGCAGTGATGTGATCGTAGCTCATTGTAGCTTCAAACTCAGGGCTCAAGCAGTTCTTCTGCCCCAGCCTTTCAAGTGGCTGGGACTGTAGGCACATAACACCATGGCTGGCTAATTTAAAAAATTTTTTTATTGTTTGTAAAGTTGAGGTCTTTCCTTGTTTCCCAGGCTGGTCTTGAACACCTGAGCCAAGGCTAAGGTCCCACCTTAGCCTCCCAAAGTGATTTTTCTTTTTCTCAAGAGAGGGCACTAATCCTAGAAGTGGAGAGTCCAACTCAAATTTTGTCATCATTTCATATTATTTACAAAATGATAAGCTCCTGGGCTTAGAAAGGACATTTCAAGTATTGGTTATAGAGGTAATAATTTGACTTTCTAGGTTTACCCATGAGTAATCAGATTTTTGTTATTGAGACTTAAATGTGTTTTTGATGGACTACTATATAAATATACATACATCTACTATCGATTTCCCCAATCCTGTTTTTTTGAGTTCTACTTTTTAATGTGTTTGTTCTTTTCTCATTTGTTTTTAATTGCTTTATTTTTTAAAGTAAATGGATTTAACTTTTTTCAGTTGGCAAAGTTAACTCCTTTAATAAGTATATTGATTTTTCCAGTATGTTGTAAATAAATGCAAAAGATTTACATTTAAAAAATCTCTTCGATTAGAGTTAGGGCATGTTTATTTTGAGGGGATAAGAAAAGACTTTGAGGCAGACTATTTCATGTCAGAACTTAGGAGCAAAGCATAGTGTAACATTTATCTAAATAGAACTAATAGTTGAAGTCATTGGTTAGAATCAGCTTTTAGAGAATAAAGAGAAAGGGGAAAGACTGAGAATTTAACATCTTCAATACAGAAGAAATAGGTAAATAATCAAGGAAAGGACATTCAAGGATATAGGGTAACTGAAAGATGCCAAAGATGAAGATTAATTGTAATTACTGATAACATTCTAAAGAGAACTCACAGAGAATGTCGTCAGATAAAGGGGATTAGATTTGATCTTTATCATTTCTAGAGACCTTTGAGAGTAAAGACAGCAGAAGGGCTGCTTTTTTCCTTTCTTTTTTTTTTTTGAGACAGAGTCTCGCTCTGTTTCCCAGGCTGGAGTGCAGTGGTGCAATCTTGGCTCCTGGGTTCAAGCAATTCTCCTGTCTTACCCTCCTCAGTAGCTGGGATTACAGGCACATGCCACCATGCCTGGCTAATTTTTGAATTTTTAGAGAGATTGGGTTTCACCATATTGGTCAGGCTGGTCTTGATCTCCTGGCCTCAGGTGATCCACCTGCCTCGGCCTCCCAAAGTGTTGGGGTTACAGGCGTGAGCCACCAGACCTGGCCACCTTTTTTTTTTTTTTCTAGAACAAAAATCCTCTAATTTTTGTCTCTTGATTTCTCAAGAGCTGTTTTCCAGCTGCTAATAACTGTTTCTTTGATATCATGAACCAGATTTGAATGTTATAGTATCTGGTTAAATGATTTATATTTTGGTAGTAGGTATAAATTATAAAAGCATCTTAGAATCAACATTCTTTGAAAAATACTATGAAGAAGAAAAGTAACCTTGGTTAGAAGCCAGATACTCCACATACATTTGAAATTTATTGTGTGTAATAACCAAATTTATCCATGTTGTAATATTTATTTAAATTTTTTATTTTGCCCAAGTGTATATGTTTTCCATACTGTTCCTAGGCAGGAAGTGCAATTTTTTCCTTTTGGTTTGCAGGAACACCTTTGTCCTAGAATATTGTGGAGAGGTACTTGATCATAAAGAGTTTAAAGCACGAGTGAAGGAGTATGCACGAAACAAAAACATCCATTACTATTTCATGGCCCTGAAGAATGATGAGGTAAGCAGCATGGATGTGTTTGCCTTGAAACAGATCTGTTAGGTTTGAAGGAGTCATTGATACTGATCCCTCCCTCCCTTCCTTATCTCTCTTTTCCTCCCTCCTCTCTCCCCTCTCCCCTCTCCTCCTCTCTCCTCTCTCCTCTCTCCTCCCCTCTCCCCTCTCCTCCCCTCTCCCCTCT